TGAAACCAATAATTGATTTTCTAAAAGCAAGTGTCTAGTCTAAGCCCTGTAACAAAGAACTATTGAGCACAATGGGACCAGTTGAAGCTTGAAAATGGTATTCTTCTCCGGAGATGGGAACTGCAGATGGGAAAGAGACGACCTAGCAAACGGTTATACCGAGAAAGTTACTGGAAGTTGTGCTGCGTCAATCCCATGATACTTTAACAGGAGGACATCTCGGAGTTAAGAAAACATTGAGTCACCTACGACAAATATTTTACTGGATAGGTATGAGGCAAGATGTGGAAGAATGGTGCAGGACATGTTGTGCTAAAAGGGGACCCAAGCATAAAGGATGTGCTCCAATAAAGTTATATCAAGTTGGTGCACCAATGGAAAGAGTAGCCATTGACATTGCTGGTCCTCTGCCCCAAACTCGTGCTGGAAACAAGTGCTACCTTAAGCATAACTAGAGAAAATTATTAACAGAAAAACGTAAATGTACATTCTATATTTAAAAGAAACTGAAATATTTTATAGCATTCCTATTTCTGTTTAATAAGATAATAACAGTTCTGATATTTATTTAATAAAATTTGCTTACTAATTATATATATAATTATTTACTTTGTTGTGAACAGGTTTGCTGTTAGTTTGGGTTCAAACATCGAAGTCTCGGAGATTCCACCACTTGACGAAAATAAGTTTTTTCGTGTTCTTGTACGTGGTGTGGTTGAGATTGGAACATTGATATTAATCTACTTTCTTTCACAGAGGTAAAGTGTAAAATTATATATTTTATTTTAATTTAAATAATCTGTCATTTACTCCCAGTCGTTTCGTTTGTTGTTTTAAATGACGTAAATTGTTTTTCTTCAAGAGAGAATTACAGTTGAATCAAATTAAAACAGTGACAGAAAAAATTGACCTGTAATTTTAATCCTTAAAAACTATAAAAAAAATTATTAGAAAAGGGAGATGCTGACCAAAGATGGATTTGTGTAGTGGTGCCATTTGAATCTAGATAGTATGAAGGTTAAAGAAGATGATTTGATCCAGCACGATCAGAAATAAAACCTACTTTTCAGCTGTGAAAATTTTAAAAGTTTATAATGATTCATGGGTGTAATTTTTGAATTACTTCTATACCTATAAGTTTTCTTTTGTATTACATATGTCTTTAAATTACCGTAGCCACTACTGACGGATATAATGTTTCCCATTCGTTGCTTTAGATACATTAAGTTTACATTTCTGTTACCGGAGATGTTTTGTGGTCATATTTACTACATGGCTAAGCCTAAGTTAAATTTGTCTTGCAGTTCAAGTATTAAGCTGATTTCACGCATGCTACACCTTTCTCTAAAGTATCCTACAAATCCTAAATGTGAAATTTGTAATTGAAATATAATATACATATGCTAGTGTGTGTGTCTATTAGAGCTTGTGAACATTACTTCTAAGATACTGAACTGGCTTACTTAACTAAAATGTTTTGAATTATTTCATCATTCAAACAAAAAAATAAATGTTTGTGCAACTTTTCGGCCGTAAGCCTACATCAAGCAGGTACAGTTACCGATTATGTTTACAATTAACAACTACCTAATGTAGGCCTATGGCATAAAAGTTGCTAGTAAATTTAATGTTGTTTGGGAGGTGAAAGCAATTGACGTATGGTTTCATTTATTCATACATATGCATAAGCACTCACAGAAGATAACTGAAATGCCCAATATTAAATCTTTAAGTCACTTGTTAAGTGGCGCGTTTTCTTTAAAATAATAATAAACATTGTATGGCTCCTTTTTAAACATTTGTAATTAATACACGAGGAAATTCCAAAAGGTTTGAATTATCCGGAAATTACAATTTATCTAAATTTATAATAATGGGGTTAATAATTTCACTAAAAAGAAAATAGAAATAAAATCGTAATTCTATATTTTTTCCTTTGTAGATTAGGTACGAAGTTTATCCAGATGGCATTGCTGATTGGTGGGGGCCTTCTTTTCATATCAGCCACTACAGTAGAAGAACTTGTATTAGAAGGTGATCTAAATTGTGAGAGTTGTAACATTTTACCATCACGTTGCTTTATTTGCAAGATCGACTAACTCTAATTATTATTTTAGCTTTGTTAAACACCTGCACTTTATATAAGCACAGAGTATTGTTGACCACGTAACACCTTACAAGTAATTAATTTTCATAATAATAATTTTGGCATAACGAAAACATGCTTGTCCCCTACAGTAACACTACTGTCTTTGCCAAAAACGAACAGAGCGATTAACTTGACGCAGTCTAAATATACTTGGCATTTCTTCTATTGAAAGTAACCGAAAACCATAAACCTATAAGTGTTACTTTAAAAGTGCAATTTCTGTAAACATTTGTTTGTGAATTTATAACATAAATTATTGAGATTGTATAATGAAAAAATTAGTATTAGAGAAAGTTAATTATTTAAATTATTTGCAACCCTACACTGGTTTACTACCATATATTAATTTTGAAAATATTTTGTCTGAGGATCTACATTAACTCTTCAGAACTTATTCAAGTAAAAACATGACAAAATTCATTATGCAAGCTTTTTTTATATGGCGAGTTTGTATTAAATGTTTTGTAACGTTTTGTGGTTTCAAACTTCATCTATAACACAGCATGTAAAATAAAACCTGTTACAGCAAAAGAGGTAATTCTTAAGGATCAAGATCAAACAAATGAAATTTTCACCCCGAAGAATAAATAGTAGAATATTTGTGGATAGTCTACTTAAATCCAGTCCCCTAACTTAAAGTTTGTATAAAATGGCTTCACAACACAGATGTATTGTGTTTTTAGACAAAAAGGTAATCAAACGCTAGAGTTATCGGTAAAATGAATGAAAATTGCATGCCATTCATTTCTTTACGTAAACAAATTTAGAAATAGAAGAATGAGTCAGAACGTTGTTAATTTTTACATCTGTTACAATTATTTATTAACTGTAATATTCACGTTCGGATGCCATGGAGACCATTCAAAGAGGCTTAATAGATTGAATAGTAATTATTAACACGCATGACGTAGAGGCTTGTATAATTGTCAGTAAAAAAAAAAAAGTTTATCTTTATTCGTATTGCTCTTCTGCTTTTCTCGCGAAATTAATCATGTAATTATCTTTAAGAAAGGTACTCTTTTCAAGATTTTTTTTTCTTTTTGTCTATTCAGATCAAGATGACACAGTTCTTGTTCTACTTCCAGCGATATTTTCGTTGTTTGCCAAGAATACCTTACGAGTAGCTACGCCGTTACTTTTCATCCACGCAATCAAAACTTTTCCAACTGGAATAAGGTAATTTCGTTACTTTCACAGTTCATGATGTTTGTTTTGAAGGATTTTCTATTGTTAGAGGGACTACCACTTTCCTTTATTTTGATTTACTATATACTTGAATGGTTTTGAAACGCTGACAAGGATAAATGGTGGGAAAATAGTAAGTAACATCATATGATAAGGCCTCACAGTTACCAGCAGTAAAATGCTAGTTCTACTTATTTCAGCTCTTCTCATTGGCTCAGTTAATTGAGTGATAAAGAACGTTAACCAATAAAACGTTATTATACTTTTGGTGGGATGAACAGTCTAATCGTCTAAAATGATTGTTTACGGGGGTATCTTTCTATTTTTAATTTGAAAAGAGCCTTTCAAGCTCTACTTACAGTTACGCCTGTAACTGTGCGCGTGTCTATGTATATATGCTGCAATGTTGAGCAGCTAATGATATATATATATATATATTTGCAAAAAATATTGATTGTATTTTAATTGTATACTAGACTTTCTAAGAGGCCTGGTGGTTAGAGTGCTTGACTCACAATATGAGGGTCACGGATTCAAATCCCCCTTACCGAACATGTTCGCCCTTTCAAGCGTGGGAGCATTATAATATGACGGTCAATCCTACTATTCGTTAATAAATGAGTAGCCTAAAAGTTGGTGGTGCTGACTAGCTTTCTGTTACTACTAAATTAGCGACGGCTAGGGAAGATAGCTCTCCTATAGCTTTGCGCGCAATTCAAACCAAATATTATAAAATTTGTTTAACCTTTACAATGCACTCTGCAAAGATACGTTTTTATCCATTCGCTGCTCTGTTAAAATGAATTGAAGCATCTTTGTTATTCAATGTATTGTTACGTATCTGCTTGTTTGATAATTTTCGGTAAAAATTCTTTCCGAGGAACTTCAGCGATACAAGTCCTTTCTTAATTAAAACTAGTTTATTCTTTCTCGATACAACTTTGTAATACACAGAATTTCTACAGTCACTTTAAACTTAACAACCTTTATAACACACGCTATAAATCGCAGTGATTCACACATTTTACTTACGTGCCTACTCTTCGCTTGACTCAATCATCTATCTCTTTAATCTATCTATATCTCTTCTCTTGCGCTGGTGTTTCTCGCCAGGCTTATATACTAAAAAAGAGGGCGCTCGGCAAACACTAGGACATTCGCGGAGTTTCTCGATAATTAATGATCCTTCTAAGAACTGTTGAAAACCGTTTTTGCAAATATGGACAAGTTTGGAGCAGTGAACGTTTTGTGACCGTACATATAGTGTGAATTGGAACTTTGAATTTACAACCTAAAGCTGGATTTCGACATATGTTTTGAAATGATTACGTTGAATTGGAGAGACAGTTCCTTCGTGGATCTACCAAGAAAGAGTGTTTTTGTTTGTATTGTACCCTTTTGTAAGTTATTGTATATAAGTTAACATATCTTTTGTTTGTTTGTAATTAAGCACAAAGCTACACAATGGGCTATCTGTGCTCTGCCCATCATGGGTATCGAAACCCAGATTCTAGCGTTGTAAGTCCGCAGACATACCGCTGTGCCACTGGGGGGGGGGGGTAATATATCTTTAAAACTACAAAATTGCAGCGTTGTCATTTTTTGTTTTTACGTATTACACAGTACGGTAATACGGGATCGTAACAAAATGAAACGACTGCCATTACCCAAAGTTAAAAACTACGCTGTTTAAATCAAAGTTGGAAATATTTGCGTTTGGACGGGTGTCTGTGGTGAGATTTTTTTATGGACCTCGCGTAACACTAGGCGGCAGGTTCTAGCACCGTGCTAGAACAACTTTTTCTTTCACTACAGCAGTATTTTAAGATCGCTGCTTCAACTCCACTTTTTCTCATTGAAAACTATGAAGTCTGCTAAGAATTAAATTTGGATTTCACTTAAAATACTGTTACAACAGCGGAAGTCACGCGACGCTGGGAGCATGCGCGCTGGAATTTCTAATGTATGTCCGCAAATCTACCGCTGATCCACTGGGGGACTATAATAAAGTAATATTTTGCGTTATAAATTCCATATTGTTACGATATCGCATTTTTGTAAAACTTACTTGTGAGGCGCTGCAGGTGTATCGCCTGATCAATGACGTTAAACTAACAGTTTTCAGCATGTGCGCTTTCCGTAACGTTTTTTTTTTATATAAAACGTCTCAACTTTCAGTAATTGAGAGTAGTAGTAGAGGAGTATTTTTTCAGAAGTTTGGTTTAGTCTAGTTTGAGTGGCCGTTTCAGACAGAGATTTCTGTATCAAACTCGAAAGAGTTTTTGAAACTAGATATTAATCGTAGGTATTTTGTTAAAGCTATCATTAGCTTTTTGTTTACGACTCTAAAGAGTTTGTACATTTAAGAATTAGTCTTAACTTTTGTAAGCCTTGTGCTTTTTGCTAAATCTCAGTGTTCAATTCCCCACGATGGACGGAGTGCAGGTAGCCCATTGTGTAACTTTGCGCTAAAAAACAAAAATAAACCACACAAATAATACTTTATAAGAATTTAAATCATCACACTAGATTACATGCATATATTGGACGACTAGTTAGGGCCTTACAGGTTGTGGCACTTCATTTTAGAAAGCGTTACGATTTCAGATTTGTTCCAGAAAGGGCTATCTGCGAATTTCGAACTGATAGATTGGAGGGGAGATAACTAGTCAACAGCACCCATCGCCAACTCTTGGACTACTCTTATGTGGCCAAACAGCGGGATTTCACTGTCGTTTATAGCGCCCCCTTCAAAGTGCGGGGCGAGTTTTTGAGGCAACAGGACATGAAACAGGAATTCTCAGATTCACAGTTTGGTATGTTAACCACCCGGCTGCGCACAGCCCTTAAGATTTCAAAATAGTGGGTGTTGTTTTCAAATCAGATAACATTTATTGATCTAAATTATACCACGTCTTAACTTACCAATCCACATAGTGGATCCGAAAGACAATCTCAAAACAGTTAAGAAACTGCCATACTTGACACAAATTACAAATGTCTTGAGGCATTCCTTCTTTCTAACAGTATTTTTATAACAAAGCAACAATCGGGTTTGTGTGTGTGTGTCTGTCTGTCTGTGTTTCCACAAGCGTATCTCGAAAACTAATAGATCGATGTACACGAAAATGTAACACAAAATGAGAAGTCAGTATGGGACAGTCCTCTACAAATTTGGTCTAATTGAAATCTGAATCCATATTCTGGATCACTTTGAAGCATTTTTCGCGGTTTTCGATGTAAAATGTGAACGGGTTGGTACCAACTTTCATGGGCACATTAAAGTTGAAATTCCTCATCACACTGCAAGAAAATGATCCAGGTTGTTGATCATTATGGGCCTGAGAAGGATTTTCTGAGTTTTCGAAGGTGAAATTTGACGTTATTCAATACAAACGCATGCAATCTCGAAAAAGGGCGGCGGGGCGAGGGTATGCAATCTATCTGATTGCTCTCGTTATACGTTATAAAAGTTATCTTGGAAATACTATTTTACTTAGTTACATGAAAGCCAACATACTAGAAGCTCTTAAGTTTTGCTCCAGCAGATGATGTAATCGCAAAAAATACAAATAAAAACTCGCTAATTTTGGCCAATATGAGGAAGGGAGCATATATTGAACATAAATTCTACGTGAAAATCTTTGATAAGGTAGGGGAAGGGGTACTTTGAAAATTATGAATATAAATAAGCAGGGTCACCAGTTTTAAAAGAGTGCGACTACCGGCAGCTTTAGGCTTATTTAAATGAGAATGTATGTCACCCGAGTAGGCCTAAGGTATCAATAATGTATGTTTGAGGGTTTTAAGGGTATCATGGCGAAGTTTTTACTTTATAACGGTATGTATGCCATGAGTGAATCTTCAGCTGATATGATGCGGTATTTTCTGTGGTGAAATTTTCTCTAAGATTATTTATTAATATTTTTACTCTTTTTATAGTTTAGCGGTTTTAGAATCCGCTAATCTTCATCGGTCACACCAAATACGGTGTTAGTTTTGAAAAAAATTGACACATACTAATTGGCGATTCTTTGTCTTTGTTCTTAGGTGTCTCATGCTGGGAACGTGCGTGTTTTGGTTACATGCTGCTGAACTTATTGCACCCCATTTAACTTGGCTTGTAAGTGTCTAGCTGTTTGGTTAGGGAAGTGGGTAAGGTTATGAATAATTATATTAACAGAGTTGCTTAAGGGTTGTAACTTGAATATTTGTCGATACTTTTAAGTTTGTTATTTAATGTTTAAGTACTTATATTGTAATGTTATTGATTTTATTTAAGACTGTAATGAACATGTTAGAAACAATTGTATTACTTTTTATTGTGAAATTTTGTCAAATTCATGCTTTTTTGTATGTTTTACAGAGTGACCACACCATCCCTTATATACCGCTAACAGTTTGCGGTATCCTCTTGATTATTTCTGGCGGCTTAACTCTAACACTTCCAGCCTGTCAAAAGCGTCCTCTACCGAACACTTTAAACGAGGCCGAAGAGATGGAGTATAATTATTCAATGCATGCATCAATGAACAAGAACCGATACTGCAGCCAAGACCACTCAAACTCTTTGTTCTTTATGAGCTCCCAGAGCACCAATGACATTCGTCAAGGTGAAATTGACGCTCTTCGGAGGGAAGCATATCATACTAAAGATGTCCAAATAGAAGATGAAGAGGAACAGTCCTTGCAGTATTCAGAAACGATCTTCCCTGTAAAAGGTAGTGTTTTTTTCGGCTCTCTAAGATATGCCAGGCATGAAGGTATGCACGAGCCACGTGACGACCAAGGTGATTCCCAATCTAGACTAACGGACCTAGAAGACGAATTAACAAAGGTATGGGAACTGAATAAACATCACTCTGCCCCTGACACGAAGGAAGAAGGACCATCCAAGGATCTAGATGTATTTTTTGGCTCTAATCGTCGAGCAGACTGGGGGATAGGCGAAACAAATTTCTAAATAGTTTTTCAATGGCCTGTTTTACTGGAGATTAGCCATTTGCAGATAGCTTGACATTTTTCTGACCAGAACTTCTGGAGTTAGAAACTTGTGGTGACAAGTGACAAAGAAGAGTACACAACACATAACTTTTCGGAATATTTCATGTATATTAGTGGTTTCAAAGCGATGATTAATAAGTTGTTTTATGCAATTAGTGCTTACCTAGTATGTGACCAAAATGGACGAATATGAAGGTCACTACAAACCTCCCTCCACCCACTTTCCACCAAGATAATACAATAGCTGCAGGTTATCTCTACATACTTACAACGGTACTTTTAATGTGAGTCGTGAAACGTCACAACCTGCTAAATAATGATGTTACTCATGATATATCACCAGACTTAGCTCTACCCCGAAGATCAGGCAATAATAACGAACAGTCTACTTGATATTTTTGTTTTCTCTGGGCAACATAATAAACTAATGTTTTGCTTAATCAGATGCACGTTCAGAATTTCATAAAAAAATTAACATAAAAATTATTTAATTAATCTGTAGTTGTTATTACCTGTAGTACAATTTAATGTTTACATTGAATGAAACACGTATGCTGACGTAATACTAAAATATATGGTATTTATTCCAAGCCTTCAAAACAAAGAAAAGATAAATTATTAGAGCTATCTATTTTACTTGTTTTAACTTTTTTTTTTCAGCTAATAAACTTAACTTGTACTTTAAACTGGTCAAGCGTGGTCTAGTGGTTATTCTGCCAGCTACAAATCGAAGACTCTTAAGGTGCCAGTTAAGATTTTTCACTGAACACGCTCCGTATTTTGAGCTATCGAAGCGTTACAACTGTGACAGTCAATTCCACTTAAAGAAGTTGGAATAAGTAAGTGCATCAAGAGTATGCATGGCGCCGTTTTTGCGACATGAAATAGGTCAGCTCAGTCGCCATGTTTAACATAGTTGTAGTATAAACTTTTATGTGTTTAATAAAATTTCATTTAGAAATGGTGAAGTTACTGGTAATGATTATGTCCTCATGCTTAAAACTGACAGCTACCTAAGATAACCTGGAACTATACATAGCAGGCTATGTTGTTAAATAACTTGCTAATGAGATACTTGGTTCGGAATGCTGTGAAATTTTTCTGATTTCTCATCTAGAAAAAATAATGAAGACCATATTTTATTATCAGATGATGTGAATTTGAGATGTCGTCAAACAAAAAGTCTTTTACGCCAATTTCTTTTGGAAAACAACCGAGGGAACCAATACTTTTACCAAACTAATGTAATGAAAGTTCTTCGAACCAACCCTTGTTCTGTCAATTATTGAAACATGGTGTTGATAATGAATTCCATGCTAATCGTGTTGTTACATTAAAGCAGAGCATAATTAAAAATACATAAAGATTAAATGTCACCATATCGCTAATGTTCATAACAACCTTGCATACAGAAATTGTGCGTCGAAGTTTTGGTAAAAGTAAAAGAGTGTGGAACAGGTCATTACTTATAAAATGCCAGTTGTTTGTGCCTAAGATTCACATTCTTTATCAGCACACGATACAAAAAAGGCTCTTTAAATTTCCAGTAATCACCTATTAAAATATTAATGTTTTTAGAGCGCATATGGATTACAAGAAAGACCTTTAAGTTTCCAGTAACCACTTACTATGGAATATTAGTTTTTGTTGTTTTGTTTCTACACACACACACACACACACGTATTCCCTCTTTTTTTATGAAAGATCATTCAAGATTGCTTAACTTTCCAGTTAGATATAGCAATCAGAGTTCTTAGCGGTTCTAATGTTGTAAAATAAAAGCCCTTTGGATATCAAAATCCATACCATGAGTTATTAAAAACTTTAATTTGAAACAGCATCAATTATATCATCAGTTATTTAGATCGACTATAGAGAGTGTGATCCAATGACATGTACAAATAAGGCTTTGCTTTTAAGACCAAACCCACAGCTGAACAAAAGAAAAGTGACAGAACGATTAAATTCAAGGATAATCCAGGTTAATAAAGATGAGGAGAAAATGATGATTCCTCAGTGGACAGAACAGATTCCTTGAAATTTGCAACGCAAATATAAACACTTCACCAGCATGCAGATAGTGAAGTGATTTGTCGTATAAACCTGGATTATCGCAAATGAGAGAAAATAAAGATAGGAAACGCCTGAATCATTTCCATCGGTTGTATTAATATATTATGTAAATTACACGGCTCTGTAGTCGAACTTCGACAAGGTGTAAACTGGAGGTAATTTTTAATATGTCTTCTTCATGTGACATGAAACTATATACTTATCGAAGTAGAAGAATTAACTCAAATTTCAGGACCAAAAACAATTACTGACAGGTCCCATCAGGTGTGGTGGGTGAGAGCCAGAATGAGTGAATAGCACACTTGCTTTTCTAACAAGAAGATCCAGTACTGAATTTCGACAACTGCTACCACATGTAGTCCTTCTCAAGACTTTTTCCGAGACGATAGCAGATTAGCAACCATAGCGTAAGATACAAAGTGGTTAGTAATTATATATCTAGTAATAAAAAACATTACTAATTTGTAATTAAACATCCTACCTTAAAGTTACCAGTAAAAGCTTTGGTTTACTTTTTAATAACAGTTCAAAGTTTTGAGATAATACAGAATAAATTCAGTCTCATTCTGGTCCATGCATTTAGTTTTTTTATACGTTAAAAGCGGAGAAGAACATCCCAATTGGTTGATGCCTCCATCTTCTCAGATGGCACCTAAAGATAAGTTTGAACTTACTTCTTGAGAAATATAATGACCAAACTATTTCATCATGTTACTAAGCGTTACGTTTTATCTATTGGTGCAGAACTGACTCGTTTCTGACCCCAATATCATACAGTGAGTGAGGGTCCTGACTCCCTGCTGATATAGATTGCTTTGTCAAGCTAGTCCCCTTCTTTGGGCCTCCGAAGGCATACCCTCCTGTCCGCGGCGTCGAGGGAGGGGCCTACATTCATGTGCCGACACATGTGTGACAAATGAAGCAATCTTTCCCTGACTAGGAGGCTTCTCTTAAATAAAACGGACCAATCACACCAGAAGAATGTCTTAGATGGATCTTCTGACGCAAATGTTCTCATTGGAGGAAGTTCACATGAGAACAGAAACACTTTCACTTTAATCTGCCTTACCTACTGGCGACAGTTTGATAGAGGTACTTGTTTGTATATAAAACAAAAGATAGATTAACCTGAAGATAACCTAGGACTCCTATCCCATCTGACGAAGAGAACCAAAGGTGTAGAATAGTACGATCTATCAGGCGGCATATCTTCCTTTACTGCCTACTAGATGGAAGTTTATTTTTATTTAGATATCTGTATAACCTAGCAAAAACAAGCGGAAAGTGCATAACAATGCGGTAAACGAGACTTTAGGCTGTATCACATTCAAATTTAGGTTGTATCACATACAAGTTTGAAAAGGGAAATGTGACCAATTCACGCATTTTTTCAATGATAGGAATTGCTAACACAAACAAACAATTTTCCATTAAGACAACACTACACGTTAACGCAAGGATTGAAAGTTGGCCGATAATTTCTACATAAAGTTAATCATTGAAGGCCAAATATAAGAAAAAAAGCTCCGTTGTTATCCATATGCGCTCTAAAAACATTAATATTTTAATAGTTGATTGCTGGAAATTTAAAGGGCTTTTTTTTGTTGTTATCCATATGCGCTCTAAAAACATTAATATTTTAATAGTTGATTGCTGGAAATTTAAAGGGCTTTTTTTTGTTGTTATCCACATGCGCTCTAATGCCACAAAAATTTTTACTGATACGTAATTCCCTGTAATGCTGATTTTGAAATAGATCTATGTTGTTGTTTTTTTTACTTGTTTTCTACATTTCAAGTCGATTGAACTATTTTGTGCGACTTCCATTTTTTTTTCTCTGTCAGATATGAATTATTTCGAGCTTATTACTCTCGAATGCACTATTCCCTTGAGGCTGCTATAGACTAATTGCAGTAGATACGACTT